GCAGGCTCCGCGCTCGCCCGCGGGCTCCGGGCCCCTTCCCGCCCCGCGGCCTGGGCCTGGGCCGGGGCCCGGCAGCGCTTCCCCTCGGCGCGGGAGGGGGCCATGTAGCGCTTCGCCCCCCCCCCGGGGTATCCCCCTCCCGGGTGTGGGGATTTGGGCTTGGGCTTGTCTCGTTTCAGCCACAACCGAGCGGGTGGGCAGGGCAGCTTTGTGGCCCCAACCTGTCCCGTCCCTCGAGGGCGGCAGCCCCCCCCCTCCCCCGCAGCCGGGGCTGCTCTCAGTGCTTCCCTTTTGCAGGGTCGCTGTGCCTTCCCTGCCAACTTCGTGACTTGTGGAGAGCCTCCCAGGTGCTGTCATTGATCGCTGGCGGGCTGACACGTGCCGCGTGTCTGGAGCTGACCCCAGAGCTGTGAGCGGGGTGGGTATGGGGGCCAGGCATCTTATGTGGGACATACTTGCTTTCTGCCCTCTCTCCTGCTCAGTGCTACAGCTAAGTTGGCAACGCTGAGTGTTTCCAGGATTAGGTCCTAGGTTGGTGCCTTTAAAAATAAATAAATAAATAAAAGGGAAGAGGAAAGAGGTTTCTACAGAGCCCCTTTAATCAGCAACAGACCCAGGTTACTGTCCAACTTGGACCCTGACCCTGTGGTCTGATCCTGACGACAGGTCCACAGACCATGATGTCTGACTGGTCGGCCTCTGTGGAGTCAGTGTGGCTGTGCGAGGGTGCAGGTGTCTGCCCCCAGAATCGGCCTCAGACAGCAGGTTTCCAAGTGATTTGTGATGGCAAATTATCTGGTTACGGTGCATCTAATTCTTAGGTAGGACCTCATTTTTAAAATGCTAGTGCCCAAAATGAAATTGAAAGGATATTTTCCCAGGAGGAAGTGTGCTGGTCATAATTGTGAAGAGGGTCCACTGTCAAACTGATACATCTGCTGCAGCATAGGTGACTTGGCTCTGCGTAGGTGAAGCGATTATAGATACTACTCACTTGCACAAATGCACTTTTTAAAAATATTTCAGCTTAAGAACATTCATTGCCCTGTACAAATAATGATGAAGCATTTTTAGAAGCAACAGCATGCTTGACTTAGAGACTGATCGTTCCATTTTCTGCTTTCAAAATACTTAGTTACAGTTAGTTCTGATTTTGTTACTTAGCAACACATGATAAATTTGTATTTTTCCCCATTATGGGTTCTTCCTGACAGCTGATATGTCATTTGTTTTAATTTGCGGTGTTGTAAATTTAGGGCATTGTGTCGTACCTGGGGCTCAAATATCCTGTGTTTGAGCAGTAGCATTTAATGATGAGACTTTGCTGGCCAAACATTACAGATTGGCATTCAAACTTCAAAGCACTCTTACGCTGTGCGAAGTTGGCAATGGAACGCTGATGGGGTAGCTGTGACTTTTTGTCAGAGCTTTGAACTGAGATGCCCTTCAAGTGATTTTTCTTTACTCAAAATTTATATTGATTCTATTTTGTCTTGGGGAAAAAAAATGTAGAAATTAACTTCATTAAGAAAACAGCCCATAGTGTCTCTAGCATTATACATTTTTGGTGTTTCACTGTTGTCATGGCAAACAAAAAAAATTGTGTCCTGATCCTACAAAAATGTATGCAAGTACTTCTTATTTGCTACAAATTGCTGTAACTCCATAATGAAGCTGTGAGTATACAACCATTCAGACTTTGTTCTGAGTAGCCTCATTCACTTATTTTATACTGATATTTTTTAGTCGATTGGCTTCTTGCGACATGTAAAGATAAGCACAAATTTATATCTTTGCATCATTAGGACTAAAAGCATATACTTTCTGTTAAATGTTTTATGCATATTTAAATTTTAATTATTTGAAAATAAGCATTATTATTGTTCATAATCTTATCGCCACTTCCATACCGTGGTCGTTTTAGAAAAACATGCAGCTATGAATCTAAAAGTGGCTAACATGTTTTCAAATTGAATAGGTTCAAGGCCTAAAAGAAGCCTTTCAGGAGAGCATGTTCTAGGTTTTCAGACATTTTTCAGTCTATCTTTAGTCTCAGTTTTCTCACTGTATTCTAGTTTTGCTATTTATAGTCTCTCGCTAGGATAACTTGTATTTACTTATTTTGGAAATAAAAGATTACACTTAATGCTGCTTCTGAGGCCCTTTATCCTGCAACCTGATTGCGCTGGTAGACCAGTCCCATTGAAATCAGTGAGATTGCTGCAGGCATGAGAGTCTGTCTTTGAGGCTCTGATTGTAGGATGAGGGCCTTAACATTTACTTTAAATACTGAAGCTGGTATTAATACTGCTTCAGAAGACATACATGTCTTGAAGTCTAATACACACGAGCAGTCCTAACGTAGGTGAATAATCTCATCAAAGTCAAGGGGAATACTTCCATCAATAAAGTTTGAAATATCAGAGCTGCTTCCTGTGCACAGCTGTAAGTGATCACTGGTATTTAATTTTGGGTACCTTTGTACTGTTTGTCATATAACAGGAGCTGTTAGAATTAAAATTCTTACTTCTGTGCATTTCCCAAAGGAGAATATATAGAAGAATCTATTCAGTTTTTGATCAAAAACATGTATGTTAAGTAGATCTCTTTGATTTTGCTTCTTAAACCCCATTGTAATCTAACCACATTATCAACAAGAATAATGACTTATTTTAGGTCAGTACTGTACAGATCATTACTGACCTAAAATATACCATTTTCTCCCTTTCAGCTTTTTAACATAGTGAGTATTTTAGTTCCATGCAGTCATCTTTCTACAGACTTGGAGCCAGAACTGTTCTGCGAAGACAGAATGAGGACGGTGTTGCCACTTCTAGCTTAGGTAGATTTTAATGTATGAGAAAATAGTCAAATATAGATTTACAGATGGTAATTAAAGAGAAATGCTGCTGTGACTAAATTAACATTTCTAAAATCTGAAAGTCAGCATTGAAGGCTGCCATGTAAAACTTGAATCACCTGTCTCCTAAAATGTTCAGCATGCAGTGTTAAATCCTTTTTTTTTTTTTTTTTTTTTTTTTAAAGATGAAGGCAGTTTTTTTGGCCAATACTTTTCTATATCCGCACTGGTAATTCAATTGTATGAGGAACTGTGTGTGTTTGTGTTTGGTCAGTCACTGGTGTATCCTTGTATACCTATCCTGCACATGGGTTTTTAGTGCACGCTTGTACTTGCTTGGCATACTGTTGGTATCGCTTAGAATTTTCAAAGGGCTTTCAGGGTAGGGTTTCTACAAACACTTTTTGCTGTCCATAGTTCCCCACATACTACTATACATCTCTTTGAAGTCTATTTTGTTTTGCTGTTGTTTCCCAAATTGTTAATGTATTTTGTTTGTAGTTGAGTTCTTAACTAAACTAAAGTTTTGAT